TTTAACTTTTTTGAAATTTTGTTTCAGCCAGAACCACCTGCCGTGCCGACACGTGCCGATGCCGTGCCGTGCCGTGCACGTGCAGACACGTTAAGCGATGCGCCCGTTTATCCGAAGCCCTAGCTAGCTAGCTAAGATCAAAGGGAGACGGATCAATGGGGGAACCCTAAGATCCACGACGATCAAGAGAGTGCGACTGTATAAATCACGACATCACACAATTCGGTCCGTACGAATTGACTCTGACAAGCAATTACTATTTATGATGGTGTGAATTTTCAGATTTGTCATTACACAGCGAGCAAGGTGCCGTGTGTTTACGGCTAGACTATGGCGTCGTGTATGCGCGCGCATTGCGATGACGCACGCCCGAGTCACGCGCTCGCCCTTACTTCATCCCACGCGAGCTCCCAGCATCAGTTGGCAAGCTTCCACAATCGATGGAATCAGTTGTCTAACGGATGCAAGGTAGCAGCGGCAGCAGAGGCGGCCGGCGGCATCAGTGCGTGTGCGCGTCTGTGTCATACAGGCGTTCACAGCTGCCGGCATGCAGACAGTGACGTAGTGATGACGATGTACGTATACGCCGCGCTCTCACTAATGAATTAATGCAGCTCGGTGTACGACAGTGTCATGCATTTATATTAATAGAAACGTGATATTATAATTATATGTTTTCCGCATGCTCGCTAACTGTAGGATTTCACGCACGTGTCGTTACTTGTATTGAAGTTTCGTTTTAATTTCTCAAACATTAGCATTTTTCTCGCTGTTGCGCATGCATCGAAAACGATCTCTATCCGAATAAGGTGACATATTTCGGTGTTTTTTTTAACGTGAAAACGCATTATATCTACTCTAACGACGTATTGAATTTTATCATACTACCTCCACACCACACTTCTCAGTCCCCTTAAAACCCACACTATCTTGGTGCAGTGAATTTCAGTTTGATTGTTGGCATGTGCAGCTGTCTATACATCCTAGTTATAGTCGCATCATCAGGAGATAATTATTAAGTAACTAGCCCAAAAATCTACTGTGAAATGAAGCAAGTAGGAGTAGGGCCTACGTACCGTTTTCTTGCAGCTGTTGTTCTGGTATACCGACATGATTCTTGCTCCTATAGCTATATAGCTATTCTCCTCTCTTTTTGTTTCGTACGTTCCTTTAACAATATCGGGCAAAAAAGATATCACAGTTACGTATTTGCTGAGATCTTGCTGGTATGTATAAATATATATTTATATAATAAATAAAGACTATGAATAAATATTGCTTATGGCAGACTGAGAAGAGATCATTCACACGACCACGTGCAACGAAGTCGCGCGCTTCTGATGTTGATCAACAACGCGCTCCAACATATATATATACGCTTCATTTTCTCCCGCTAGGCGCCGCTGATGACGTGTTCGCGCGCGCTTCGATGAGTCGCGTGTACTCGCGTGTCATACGCTGACGCATGGGGAGTACCGAGGAGGGATGGGCAGACAAATGTCAACACTAGTTAATAGACCAAGCAGAAATTTACTCTATGCTATGTATCTTGGCTAAAAATATTCGGATATGTTCGTTTATATTTCACTGTTAGAATGTATTTAGACTGCCACACTTATACTCCTCCTCGCAGGAATAGCTTCCACCCCTCTGTAAATGTTGGCCTGCCTACGCACGTAGGAACGATGACGTTGCGTTTCGACGCGTCCGACTTGGTACATAATATATTTACCGAGAATCGTTAACTTCATATACCACGCCCATCTCGTATCGGTTGCTGACTGAACTTTAACGTCATAACTGGATATAATGAGTCACCACTATTCAGGGGCGTAGCCAGGATTTTCAAAGTTGTAGGCAGACTATCTGAGCGGAGCGCCACCATCGGTTGGCGCGGAGCGTACAAGAAAATTTTTGGTTTTACAAACCCCCCAGATGGCCCCAGCAGCACTTGAAGCGCTATCAACTTGTAACAGTGACCGCGCCGCTGGCGATTGCGCGTACACAGTACACATAAATTATGAACGGAGTCTAAGCACAGGCGCCGTCGGCCAGCGTTGTATTGGGGGTTCGTTTTAGAATGCTTGGAATTTGCTAGCGCAGGGGCGTGTACAGGATTTGTACCAGGGGGGTCTAACCCGGTAACCCGAGTGGCCGAGCCGACGCGAAGGGGGGTCTGGGGGGGCCGCTCCCCAGAAAATTTTTTAAAATTACACGCCCCTCAGATGCGCGTTTCTGGCGCGAGCAAAGGTGGGGTCCGACTCCTGGACCCGCCCTGTACACGCCCCACCTGCTGCGGCGCGAAGCGAGCGCAGGCGAGGGAGGCCAGCAACCGAGCGGGGGAGGGTGCGGGAGGGGTGCTTCACTGTTCACGCTGCCCCGGCAGGTATGAGATTTGGCAATTATTACACTAAATAGAGCGACCTGCGGTGAAATTCTTGCAAATTTAAATAAAAAAAAATTTTTTTTTTGCTTGGGGCCGGGGGGTTCGTTCGAACCCCCGAACCCACCCTGGGCTACGGGGCCTGGTCTGACACATCAGCTCTATAAGTTTATGTGTAGGTGTACGCGCAATGGCGGGCGGCGTATGTTTTAAGCAGTTTGGATACGCTTCAATGGTGCCTGTGGGCCCGGACAGATGGCGCTAGAAACGGCCCTTCCCGAGTGTTCATCGCTCTGGTTCCGCTGGCCTCTTGCTAGACTTGAAGACACCTCATTCCCAGTAGCAACTTTTTTTAATACCCCCAAAACAACAAATCGAGTAAATAGTGTTACGCAAGCGCAATGTTAAAATAACTGACCAGACGGATCCTAAGTTTTTTCGGGGCCGGGTAGAGTGTTGAATGAAACGCCGCACGCGATAGAAATGACGCCTAGATGACAGAGGAGAATAGGTTCACGTAATTTTAGCAGTATCTTGCGACCGTTCATTTGCAATAGTTTTTCCTGTCGTAGTACTGCTTAACTGGCGTCGGGCGCAGCATATGGATTTGAATTTGGTGTTTTAAAAAAAGATAACTTGGCCAAAAAAGTGTACGGCCCGGGCCGTACAGTGCTACATGACTGGGCTACCGACTGGCATTGCGCATTCATCATTAGTTAACTCGAGTAGATAGGACAGATATTCACCGCATTAAAGCGTTAGAACAGGGCACAAGGAGTCGAGAGCCAAGGCTGAGACAACGTCTTATTTATTTTTGCTCGTTAGACTGGCGTTGGTACGTCGAAGCGATACGCCATAACAGCGATGCAAGGAGTGGTAAAATCCCCTAATCTAATCACGCTAATTTGGTATTTCCAAGCACATGCAATCAGTCTCCTTAGTCATTACCCCTTCGCAAGTCATACACACCGTCACAGTTAGTTTACGCGCCGCCATATCGAGAGTACGAAGCTGATAGGTGAGCCGGCGACGTGCGCGCAACAGACATTGCGGACACACATTCGTGCTTCTTCCTTAATGTTTTTTTCTTCGTTTTTCTTTAGCGGTCTTCCTTCTCTAGCTGAGTTCATATTATACTTTTATTTATCATGTAAGATATTATAACTAGATAGCAGATAATGGTTAGCGCCAGCGCTAAGTATCCTGCATTAGGTTAATTTAGCAAGTTGTAGCGACGTAAAATAACTGGCCAGTGAAAGTTAATTGGGGCATTATTTTTAGCGTCGCTACCAGATTAACATCATGGATCTAGATTATAAATGGCCTGGAGCCCCATTGATGCGAAGCAGGTGGCCATCGTGGTAGGTATAGGTAGATAATATGAGGTGGCAGAGATAGTAAATGATATTATATAGTGAAATGCAACCATGTCTTTTAGAAGTCACTGCGTTTACGCTTTTCTTCACTACCAATGTCAGAGCCAAGGGGGCAAGGAATTGAACAACATTTTTTGAGGAAGAAACGTTTATTTATTTTGCGTTAGCTTCCGTGTTAGCGCAACGAATACGTACGCTAACAGCTGCGAAGGGAGTGAAAAATCCCTAAATATATAATCTAAAATCAGCGTAAGTTTGTCACTTTCCAACACATGGGCATATTGCAGTCTCCCTTATCATTCAGCCCACTTCATATATAGTTCCATCGAAGAACGGCCACATTAGTTTGGCGCAATCAAATAACCAAAAGTGACAGGTGGGAACCCAAGAACATTCGAGAAACGCTTTTTGCTTCTTCTTGCTGGCTTCTTATCTCTTCTTGCTTCTTCTCTTGCTTCCCTGCTTCTGGTCCGTTCTTCTTCTTCTTCTTCTTCCTTCTTCGTTGGGGGCTTGCTTCTTTTTCTTCTTGCTGTCTTGGGCATTGCTCTTCTTCGTTCTTCCTTTCCCGGCGGCCCGGGCTGGGATAGGCGTCTTCTTCTTCTTTCTTCTTCTTCTTCCTTCTTCTTCTTCTTCTTCTTCTTCTTCTTCTTCTTTCCGTTCTTCTTCTTGCTTCTTCTTCTTTGCTCTTCTTTTCTTCTTCCTTCTTGTCTCGTCTTCTTCTTCTTGCTTCTTCTCTGGTTTAGTAACGTTAGGTTTCATTACATTTACATATCAGGAGTAGATAAAACAGGCGCGTAGCCGCCGGATTTTATTTTGGGGGGGGCGGCAAATGCTAATGCAAGCGGCACGTGGAAGGCCTGTGGGCGAAAACAGAAGCCAGGATGATAAATCGTACCCCGAGGAGGTGGGGGGCGGGGGGGCGAATCGCGAATAGCGCATCATGAATCATAGCAGGCTCGTAAGCGGCGCAGGGGGGGGTCGGCGACGACAATAAATTTAACGGGCGGACGAGACCCAGCACGACCGAGACGGGTTCGACGGCGCGCCCCTATTCCGAGAGTGGGGGGCAGATCGGCCAGAGCACGCGATGGCGAGACCGGGGAACATACATACAAACGAACACACAACACAGATAGGACAGAACGGCCGCACAGGGGCAGGAAGGACCCATACACACACGTACATAACATCTTATACATGCAGCTACATACATGCCACGCGGGCGACATGCCAAAGCAAAGTTTGAGAGGCAAACCGGTGGTTTTTTTGGCACGTGCCGGCGTAGGCATGAGCTAGTGCTAGGGGGGTCTGGGGGCATGGCCCGACCCGCCAGAAAATTTTGAAGCGCATTTAAGCCCATTTTCCTGCAATCCTGAGGCATCGTGGGCCATAATTCTCCATTCTGGATGTCTGCGATGACACTGATCTACCCTGAGAAGACTCCACCCCTACCAGTTTCTCGGTCTCTCTCTCTCTTTTTGGGCGCCGCGTTTTTGGGGGTGCGAGAAGAAACCCCGACCGCACCGCCGCCCCCGCCTGCTACGGCGCCCGTGTTACTCAGATATACGCGCGTCCCACTTATCCTACTCTCCTACGTCCTGATATAATATCGCGCTGATAATAATGTATCACGAGTTTAAACTTTGCGGTTTTCAACCTACCACAAGGTGGCGCCTCTGTTACTCCCCCGCCGTCCAGTCCCGCGTCACGGTTTTTGTCGATTCGCATAGAACCGAGAGCGACGGTTAGCTGTTAAACTATACTTAATTGATTTATATATCTGATACGAACCATACGAAGAACAATAGTTCTTGTATGCACATTATCATATATCCATTCCCTTGCTCCAATGAAACGGTTCTTGCCTAGGTAGAAAGACAATCGGTCGCAGGGACAAGCCTGGTCTAGTCCGAGAGTTCCTCTGACGGCGCAAAATAAGCCGCACAAAGCCACCGACGATTTTGGTGTTTTGGTGTGGGCGATAACGCCACGACCAAAACACAAAATCGTCGTGGTGGTATTGTCAGAGAATCTCGGACTAAGCCTGGTCGGGCTACGTATGTAACTATGTCGCTGTGGCAAATGCCACTTTAGGCACCTTAGGTATCCACGAACCAGTGGATGCACAGATTCTGTTGTATGCATCAACTGATGGCACAGGAATTCGCGTATATCAGGCAATGATGGCAAAAACGCCCTAACCGCTAAGCCAACCTAACCCAACCTACGCCTAAACCCTAACACACTCGTGATACCCAAGGGAGTATAGGTTATACTTTATGACTTAGGGTTTAGGGTTACGGTTTTGGATCATTCCTTGATATACGGAAAGTCCTGTGCATCAGTTGAATCAGTGGCTTCCGAATAAGCGTTGTCCGGCGGTTGTCGAGACACCAACAATTTGCGGCCGGACAAACCTAACCAGTCTGCAGGACATGTCCGTTGGACAAACAAGCAGAACACTAATCCCTAACCCCCTAACAACTGAGCTCTAAAACACACGAATCGGCATATCTCATATATATCGGCGTGTACCAGCGGCCCAGCGCAGCCCCCAATTAATCTGG